GTAGTTTTCTACATTAATTATCTTGGAAATGATTATTTACCTATAATGTAGTTTTCAGATTAAATTATCTTGGAAATGATTATTTACCTATAATGTAGTTTTCACATTAATTATCTTGGAAATGATTATTTACCTATAATGTAGTTTTCAGATAAACCATATCTTTTTAACAACTTTTCATAATTTGAAATGTGCGATTAACAACAGGTTTTTAAATCAGGAAGAAAATGGTAGAAATAATGAGAATTCTATTATAATAACTTGAAGCAGCTAGTAATAAATTGTATGTCATATTTTTTCTGTTCAATTATAAATGGTGTGTTGTCATATTCTTAAATTTAATTCCTCTATTGCTGAAAAATCTTTCAGGATCCTTAACATTAATTGAAATGATGTTGAAAATAATTGCCAAGGAATCTACCAACTTCACGATGTAATGTGACCAGAAAGATAAAGTGCTCAAGAAACCAAAATTTGAGTGTAAGAATTTGATTTTAATCTCAAATAATAAATTAAACATTATGAATATCTTTGTCTCAAAATTCTCCACAAAAAATTAGGTTTTTAGGAAATGAAGATTATTGAGCTGATAGGGGGTTAAAAAAAAAAAGATTTTTTTTGACATCAAATCATAAGGCAAGCTGTTTACAAAATAACAATGAAGCATTCTTTTGGAGTAGGTAAACTCTTGGAAATCCAACCACCACTACAGAGGAAGGAACTCTCCTATAAAGGACGGACAGTTACTAGCCATCTGTTCAGGAATGAGTTTGGGTGTTCACTTTAATTAAAATTTTATCACAAACAAACAAAATAAACATGTTTAAGATACTTTATTTTTTCTAAACTAAAGCAAATAATTTTATATCCTAATTTACAATTTTCTTCAACCAATCTTTTATTTATCCCAAATGTCTCCATACTTGTTCTCGGAATCTCCTGGAAGGGAAAAGAAAATATTAAACAAAAAAGCCTCTTAAAGTCCAGACATTTTCTTTACAGAAAATAAGATGAAAACAATTAATGAATTCCTTAAGTTTGTTCATCAGTGACGACTGGACCATACACAAACGAAAGAGCACTTGAATGTGAGAAGCCTATTCTTGTATCTTACGAAACTGCTGTAAAATCTTCTTCTGTACAAAATTTAGATCAAAGAATTGTTTGTTTGTTTTGAATTTCGCGCAAAGCTACACGAGGGCTATCTGCACTAGCCGTCCCTAATTTAGCAGTGTAAGACTAGAGGGAAGGCAGCTAGTCATCACCACCCACCGCCAAC